AACCTCTGCCTCTTTCTTTAGTCTACATTAGTCTATATAACTAGAGAAGACTTTTTCCACACAACCCTCCCATATCCTGAGAGGGCTAACATACACAGTACAAGCCACCCTTGAGTATTTTCATTCTCCGATCTTTCTACCCCTGTAGCCTTTTCTAGACAATGTAGAGATGACAACTCCCTTTATATTCTTTACTGGCATGTTCTGAGAATAAATGAACACACAGAACAAAAACCCAAACTCATAACTTTCAGTCTTTTACCCAGTGTTCTTTTGTGGCTTCACTATTTCATTGTTTTACACCTACCATATCAATGGCTGTCCTGAGTTTCAATCAAGTGTATTTTGTGCTGAAGAAAACTTTCTTTTGCTAAGTTTTAAAAAAATATACATATATAAAAATACCCATTAACATTTATTTGTAGGTTTATTTATATTCTTGTTATGTATCTCTTTAACAGTTAAGGCAAATAAATGTTTGAATTATTTTCTCTTCTGGCATAAACCCATACTCTGCCCCTCAGATGAGAATATTTTCATGTGTTTAGAAGAGTAAACTAAATGTTTTTTATTTAAAAAAATAAGAGAATATAAAAATGATTTTAAACTGAAAAAGTTATGTTGTATTTAATGACTTTATCATATTGGAAGAAGGTAGGGTTGTTAATAAGTATGTTAGCAGAATAATCTCAATCTTTTTTCTTCTTTGAAAATTGTGAAAAACCACAGGGCTACAGAAAGGCTGGATTGTTGTGTGGATACTGACAAGACTAAGTCCCCTGCAGAGGCCCAGGTTGCTGGCATATGTGTTTTTGCTATCTGTGAGCAGGTGTGCAGTAGTCAGAGGCTCAAGGAAGTATAAGTCTTTGAAGTATTCTAGTCAAGGGCACTTAATCTTGGATTCCTCCCTCAACCAGAACACTATAAGACATGTGCTGTAACCACTTACATGTTCACATTTATCTCTCTTTAAAAACTGAACTTTGGGAGGCCAAGACGAGAGGACTGCTTGAGCCCAGGAGTTTAAGATCACCTCAGGCAACATAGTGACATCCTGTCTCTACAAAAAATTTAAAAATTAGCTGGGCGCAGTGGGATGTGCCTGTAGTTTCAGCTGCTCTTGAGGCTGAGTTGGGAAGATTGCTTGAACCGAGGAGTTCCAGGTTGCAGTAAGCTATGATGATGCTACTGCACTCTCGCCTGGGCAAAAGAGTGAGACTCTATCTCTAACAAAAACAAACAAACGACCCTCCCACCAAACAAACAAACAAACAACAAAAAACCCTGAAAGTTGCTTTAAATGTACACTACTGATGGATTTTCAGAACATACCTGCGTTTAGCAGTTTGAGTGTTGGGATTGAGAATCAGGAACTTTGGGGTTTGGTTGCCAAGTCTGCCAGAGATTTGCTTTACAACTTGAGGAATGCCCTCAAGTATCCTACTGCTCAGTTTCTAAATCATGTAAATCTGTTACATGTGAATATGAAACTTTACTTGTAATTTCATATTCAAAAAGCCAATAGAAACCTGTAAACTTTACAAAACAAAGTATTCAGATGATTTAGTAGAAAGGCAGCTTGAAAACACCAAATAGAATTAATAAAGCCTGTATATTCTTAAGTTTTAGAAATGTTTTCTAAGTATTTCACAACTTTATCTGATTTTGTTACTATCTTTGCCTCCAATTCCCATACTTGAGTTGTGGTGTGTTTTAAATGAGTTTCACAGAACTCACAAATAGCCTAAAAATCACTATTTGGATTGTTTAAAATAGAAAACCTCTCTTTAAAAAAAGTTTGAAAAATTATCAATTGAATTAAGCATTTTTAGAGCAAGTTATTTTTTGTCTTCATTGATGTCTTAATGTAGTATTTTGAAACTTCTGCTTAAGAGAGTAGACAAGGCACTGGATTGAGTAGGCAGTCACCTGAGTTGTGTTTCGGCTCTGTTACCACAGAGTAGAGTTGGACCATGTTGCCTGCTGGTCTTTCTTGCCCTCACCATGCTACCATGCCTGGAATGGCATGACTAGCATCTGCATAGTCGCCTCTTTCAAGGGTCTATTGACATGTCATCCACTAGGAAACCCATTCTTACCTGAGTAGCTGAGGTGATAATTCATTAAAAGAAAGGCCACCAAATACAACTCACAAATAAGGGGTAGTTCTCTTGATATTTTTGACATTTCATCTGCACCGACACAAACATTCTAATCATGGTATGCTGTGATATCAGAGTCCAAAGAGAGAAGGCAAAACTGACTTTCGTCTAAAAGTATACCAAACGTTTACAAATGTGGCTTCTAACATGCATTAATGTGCTCTAATTCATTACCTTTTGAACATTTAAAAAGATTTTGAAAGAGAAAACAATATTTTTGACCCCCTAAATATTTCAGAAGAAGAACTTATGCAGCTGGGAAGAAAATGGATTTTAGAATTAGAGGAACCTGAGTTCAAATCCTGATTCACTTATGCATGATCCTGGACAGTTACTTAAGTTCTCTGGCTGAGGCTCAGTTTCCTCAATTGTAAAATGGGACAATAATATTTTATACTTTTGAAAATTGCACATATTAGAAATAATATAGGTAAATCACCTCGCACAGAATAGGTACTCGACGATAGCTATAAACATTTTAAGAATAAAATGTGTTTTTCTTCTAATATCTTATTGGTATGATATGAAAAACTGGCAATACTCTTACAGGGATAGCTGTGACTGTTACCTGCTATATCATTCTGAATGCCCAGCCTTGGCAGTCAATGTTTGTTTCATGAATGAATAAATGTCAGTGTAAATAGGTATGTAGGCTAGGCAATTACAATGATAGTACATTCAGTTGACACAGTTCAGTAAATAGCAAAAAGAAACATGGCATTAGAAACTGCTTCAATATTTAGCTCATCAAAAAAGTTACATTAATTAGTAAAACAACCCGTTTTCATAACCAGCTGCACATCAGACCTATGCACATTAATTAGTATTTAATTTTATTAGGTTTAATATTTTTAAAATTCTTAGATTTTCATTAAGCATATGCTTCCTGTTAGCTTACACTGATCGGTCACATCCATATTATTACGGAACATTTATTCTTGTCCCTTTTAGCTATTTATATGCTTATACTTTTCTTATGTTAACAAATTCTTAACCTGTGTTCTTTGATACACCCAACAGTAGCAATACAGGTCAGGTGTTTTACAGAGACACATGAAACAAGAAAATAAATGACCAAGACTATGTGAAATAAGTCTAAACTTGACCATCAGAAGAAACAAAAATATAAATAAATGTTGGTCTTTTCCATTATAGACAAATTGAAATACATCAGTAAAATACATACACTTTGCACATATGAACTTAGACCTGAAATGAAGTAAATTGAGGTAAGGGGTATCAGAATTATATAACACAATGAGACAAACAATGTCTCATCAAAATGATTGAAGGTATGCTCAATAAATATGGTATATTTTTAAATAAAGACTTTGTATACATCTAACCCACTAAATGCATAAGATTAAATTTTCATTTGTGTGGAATTATCTAAAAAAAGAATAAGAGTCAGTAAAAAGTTGGAAGACCTTTATGGGAAAAATATCCTGCAAACACATAAAAAATAAAGTTTCATGAGATTCTTTAAACTAAGAATATTAAGAAGGCACTAGTCATTTCAAATATCTTCTAAACCTTATATTCTTTTAACACAAGAGGTCATTGAACAGTTCTTCATTAAATACTGACATCAAAACATAACATATAACACAAGATATGAAGGATGGCAGGTGTGAGTGGTAACACCAAGAAGGAAAATACTTGATTTTTACCATCAGCAACAAAGATATGTAGGTTATAATGCTTTTCCAGCATGGTGGTATTGTACAGTCTATACGTATCTACACACTAGCTTATTATTAAAAGCCTCAGCAGTTTTCTCATTTCCAGTAGCAATCTGGTTTTTAAAGCATGCTGTTTTCATATATGAATAATATCTTTACAATTGTCCTGTATTTCCTCCCTGTCATTTCCCACAAATCATTAGTGTTGGGTTTTGAGTATTTTTTCTAAAGTTTTCATGGTCAAATTTTTGGATGTCTTAATGTATATATGTCTTAAGTGCTTCTGTACAGTTTTTATAACAATTTCTGAGGACTCTATTGCACAAAACAAAGGTCTTTTCCCAATAATACATCTACTTTTAAATAAATCTGTCTCCTTCATTAATATTGGACGAAGACATACAACAAATTTGGGTTCAAAACCTACTATCAATGGTAAAAAGGGTTTAGTTCTACAAGAAAATCATAAAACAATTTCAAGATTAAAAATTCTGGAAATCAGATTTTCAAGCCTTTTTTTATTAGAAAACTTAAATTATTACTTTTTTTTAAAAAAGGGAGTAGCCGATATCCATTTCTGAATTTTCTCAAACAAGTAATAATGAAGGATAGAAAACTAGGATAAGAAAACACATTAGAAGACAGCTTTCTACTTTGTACAACTTCTAGTTACCTTTTCCTATTCATTCACCTATTTCTGTTCAGCAGCAAGAAAAAAAATATCCATTTATTTTTGCCTTTTTGGGTTTTCCAAGATGAACTTCATTTACCTGAATACAAACAAAAGCTAGGGAAACGGCTTTTATATTGGCATAGGCCAAGGACATGTCTCATGAACCAGGAAACCCTGCCTTTTATGGCTTCTTTTGCAGTTTAGAGTCCAACGGTTATACAACCAAATGAATGTCAAACAATATTCAAAATGACACAGATTGACAACAAATAACGGAAACACATAGAATCCTCTTAGCTGTTATTCTTTCCAATAGACAAATCCCTAGCATTCTGTAAATAAAATTATAAATACTAAAGAAATGAAGAGAATTTCACAATGGGGAAAGGATTATTTCTTATCATAATAAATATTTTGGTACAAATTTTTAAAAAAGTAGAAAAGTTTAGTACCTTCGGGTACTTTTTTCTAATAAAACCATACCTGCTTCAGAACTTGTTTGATTATAGCTGCTAACAATGCTGTTTGGTATCACTGGAGTGGAGGACGTTGAAATTCTTGACTGAGGTGGATTGGGATGTAATGAATTTCCTAAAGCCATGCCCGACTGACTGAGCATCCCACAGTTCCCGCTAGCCTGAATCTGATTTATTAAACCTGCAAGATGGTGGTTGGGGACTGGACTGTTACTGTGAACAAAGTTAGTGTTTGCGTTATGGCAGTGCACGGCTTCCCCTCTTAAAGGTATGTTCTGTGTCAGTGAATTCTGAAGAACACTGGAGTTCATATTGGGATCTGTAAAATGCAGCTGGTTAGCAGAGCAAGGCAAAGCAGTATTTGAGCCCCCGCAACCGGGGGTACTATTGCTACTCAAGTGAGAGCTTTGACAACTCATAGATTGTAGTAACTGAGACATTGAACTGATGGGGAATGAACCCTGACCCTGCTTCCTTAGCAAGTCGGGTCCAGGTTTAGGAACTGCAGAACTATCCATTTGAGACTGTCTGAGCAAACTCAACACTGTGGTAGGTGGCTGTTTTCTTTTCCGCAATGAGTCTTTTTGCTGAGACATCAGCTTATCTCTTAGTGCTGCTCGACCACTTTGCCCTTCACCTGATGGGAGAAGCATGTTGGCAGTAGGAGGGAACATGGTGTTTAAAGTGCTATGTCCTTCAGTGTTGCCACTGCCGGCAACAGCTCCAGAATTGCTACTGCTGCTACTGTTGTTACCAGCAAGTTTGTTTTGATTTGCTAGCTGTGCTTTGGCTGCTGCTGAGAGTAAACTACTTGCTGGAAAGGAGGCAGCATTGTGCTGGTTCAAGATCTGATTTAAAGGCATTCCCAGCAAACCAGGCTGACTCTTTACAGAACCACTTCCAGCAGATGCAGTAGGAAAAGCTGCACTGCTTGGGGTATTTAGTACATTACTCATTCCAGCAATTAATGGGTTAGGGATATCCTTGTATTGATGATGTCCATCGGACTTGGTAGAAGGGCTTGATGGCACTGATGGCCTTGGGGACCCTATTGTTGACCTTGGTGACCTGGGTGGAACCTTAATACCACTACAAGTGGCCTGGGGTCCTACAGGTGGCATCATAAAGTTTCCATGATCTGATGATGTGGAAGATGAGCGTGATCTTTGGGGCGATGCCTCAATCCTTCCAATTCCAGTCCCCATCATGTGCACTGGGGATGTCACTGGAGAAGGGGACAGGGAGGTTGAAGCTGAATGCTGTACTCTTTGTACATGACTCCCATGATTCATGTGACCAGGTTTTACGGTTGGCAAAGGGAGATTACTTGGCAAAGGAACAACAGCAGGAGGCATGCTTACATTCATCACAGGTACCTGAGAGTGGACATTTGAATGGAAACTGGTTGGATTAATGATAACAGGGTTCTGATTCACTGGTTTACTAGGAATAGGGTCAAGAATGCCAAGTGGATCTTTCTCAGATGTTAATGGCTTTTTCTGAAGAGCACAAGAAGGTGGAGGAGGGGGAGGTGGGCCTTGGGGTGGTTTGTGGTGGAACATTGCTCGTGGTATTTCCATGTTAGTTGAAAAATTACACATTGGTTTTTTCATTACTGGACTCTTTGTAGTCAAGGTTGGGGAAAGAGGTATATTAGTCCTTCCAGCCATTGCACAGGATGACTGTACAGGAGAACCATGTAGCATTACTGATGGTGGAGAAAGAGGAGTCCTATTCAGGTGAATAGGACTAGAATTGGGAGCTCCATGAAAACCAGGATTATTTCTTGTGAAAACATCAGGACTTCCAAGTGGGTCAGTCCTTGGAGAGATTGAGCCATCTCCATAAATCTGGGAACCTGATGACGCTGGGCTGGGCAGGCCTCCATGGTTGCCACGGAATGGAGACTTCTGTCCGTGTTCACTGCTGCCCAATCTTTGTCGGGGGTAGACAGGGTGGAGTTCTTGCTGTTGGCTTCCAGGCAGTTCTTGTACACATAGCCTTCCCATGGCATTTGATGATCCAATCATTAACTTGAAAGGATTCTTACATTCAGGCATTACAGAATTTGTAATTCCTTCATGAGGCTTATTTCTTATGGATCTTGGAGTTGCTGCCCTTGAAGGTACTACTGGAGTTGCATCTGATGTGAAAGAGAAAAAAAGAATTCTGTTAATAGTTTCGATTCTTTTGTGTTGGGAGGGAGGAAAGGAATGGAGGAAATCAGGAAGGGAAAGAGAAGAAGGGCATCTGGAAACAAATCAGAAAATAAAAGCTGTGATTCTATGTAATTAAAAAATGTTCTATGTGCTATATTTAAACTTTGATTTAAAAAATGTACATTATTCTCCTTTAGTTGATCAGTGGTTCTCAGTGACTACTCATTATGCTTGTTTACTTCTTATCTGTTGAGAAAGCATGGGCATCTAAATCAGTACATAATGACATTAGCCATTCTAATAATATTTAGAATATGCAAAATCAAAATTGGCAGCCTAGATAGAAATTTTAAGAACACAGTTACAATAGAAAATTGTAATCTGCGTGGCATAGTATTTTCTTGGGTAATTTAAATGAACTGGTATTTCTATCAGAAAATTTGTACACTATAAATGTTTCTATAACCTTACTGAAACCTTCTCAGAACAGCTATGGTAATATTTCCTTATCTCAACATTTTCACTGTAGGAGTCAGAATCTTAATTTCTGTAAATTAAATGAAGGAGATTCCAAATATTTTATAATTGGAATAATAACAAGAATAAATGCAGTGATAATACAATCATGCTTAGCCTCACATCATGTCTGTAACACTGTAATTTCTTTGCCCTTAATTAGTCATTATAGTTAATAAGAAAGCCTTAGTCAACTTAGGTAAAAGATTGGAATTCTTTTATTAGAATAGAATTCTCATGTAAAATTTTGTCTGAGTGCTAAAACCTTTGGTACTGCATTCCAATTGAGTATTCTCTTTTTACGTGAGTGCATTTCTCTCTCTCTGGCTTTTTGGAATCCCTTCAGTTCTTTTGGAGATCAGAGAGAATACAAGCAACAAAAGAAAGCTGGCTCATCATACAGAATTTTCATTCTATCATGTCAGAAATCTAGTTTAAGTTTTCTAGCCCCAAAGGATGTTTAACTATTTTATAAAGTTGTGCCCTCTAAAACAGAGGTGGCAAATAAAATTTATTTCGTATGCCAATTCCTATCAATTGGTGGTGGCTGCTTAGAGAGTTGTGTTGAAAAGGATGCTGAACTCTAGCTGGGCTCCATGAGAAATTACCAATGAGTCTATTACACGCACTGGAGATGAAAGTGGCATCTTTCGTACTATATATTTGCCATACCTATTTTGAGACTTACAATGTATTAGCAAGTATAGTTACATTCATTTGCAATCAGAGGTATATTTACTTAAATGGATAATTACACATTTAAGATAAATATATTTTTCCTATCTGCTAGAGAGTATAAAGGTCAAATCACATAATAATTTCGAAGATAGTTCTCAGCCTAGAGTACACAGAAGTCTATATAGGGTGCATTTAAGTGGTTAGAGAATAAAGTGAATATATGTTGTTTTGGACTTTCTGATTCTGTCATGGTGGGGGTTCTTTGATAGAGTGATTTCTGGATATAATATATGAAAAGTTGAGAACCAATGATATAAGATAATTGTACTAGATAAACTCAACTGAAGTTTATTTTCTTGTTAAGGAGAGATTTCAGGGATTAAAAATATAGGCATTGGTATTTTTATATTAAACTAACAGAATTTAGATAGTAGCTGTGATTTAGAAAGGACTTCTTCCATACCTGGGGAAAAATAATTACCACCTTTAAAATAATAGAAATACTACCTAAACAAACAAAAGTCAGGCTGATGTTGTTATGTTACAGTTAGGAACTGAAGTACACAAGAGTTGGCAAGTGTAAATGCTAGGCACCCATCAAAGTGATTTCATGGGCACAGCATGGTGGCTCATGTCTATAATCCCAGTGCTTTTGGCGCCCAGCCAGGAGGATTGCTTGAGGCCAGGAGTTCAATACCAGCCTGGGGAACAAAGCGATACCCTGCCTCTACAAAAAAAAAAAAAGTGCTTTAATGCATATTCAAGTAGACCTTCCAAAAGAATAAACATAGACAAAATAAATGTTCATGTATTTAAGTAAAGAGAGGTGAAAATTACTATGTGAGTCTTCTGAAGTTTTAATTATTTAACTCTCAACCTTATGATAACAGTTTAAAATTAAGAAACTAAAATAAATGCTATTTATTTCTGAAGCTAGTAAAAGTAATTACTCAAATAAAGTGTACCATTTTAAAAGAGGGTAGAGATGTACTAGTTAAATATTTACCTTTAATTTCAATAATTAAACTTGTATGTATAGGTATGACAAAGGACTTAGATCTAGATTTTGCTAGGGTCTTTAGAAAGGCAATAACATAGACTGTAGAAATAGATAAAACCGTTTGATATAATGTGATATGAAAACAGCCACAAATAAGAGTATGTGCAAACACATGTGCAAGGTAATATGCAAAAATGAAAACAGTTACATCAGGCTGGCAGGATAAAGGTAAATTTTAAGTAGTTTATAACTGTTAAATATGTCTTTAAATTATTGCAAAATAAATTTCAATTTAAAAAATGTAGCTTATTAAAAGAAAAAGTTTCCTAAAAGATTTTTTTTCTTACATACCTTAGTGGAGAAAATTTTTTCTGATTATTCCTGTTAAAGTTTAAAGGTTAGATGGTTATTGGAAAGGAGCGTTATGCTAATAACCACCAAATTTGTCTCTTCCTGCTTCTTCACATGAGTTCTAAGTGCAAATCTTTAATTATATGCATGATGTGGCAACCGTTCAACTGTTCTTTGCATCCAAGGTGTACAATAATTTGGCCCCAATTTACCTATACATTTCTAATCTTCTACTCAAGTCACTTTCCACATCATTCCTTAACTATACTACACTCATTCAGGAGATTTTTTTTCTATTCCCTTTATATGTATTTTCCAAGGCTGGTCCAAATCTGAGTTCTCCCTTGAAGTCTCTCTGATCACTATAGGTTACACTCATCATCTCTATTCCAAATTCTGCAGAACAATATCACTTAACCTTCATAAAGAGATGCTTTGTTGTTTAGCCATAGTTTCTTCTGAGTTTTTATTCAAGTGTTAAGTAGATTATAATATTTTGGAGGGAATTCATATTCTAGCCCTTACAAAAGAAGTTCCTTAGTATTAAAGTATAATTCCACAGAGGACACATTAATCATAAAGGGAAAATGGTACCTTAACAATGGAAAAATTGATGGATACAATCTTAACCAAGCAATCAAACTTAATGTCATCAATATGGGATAACTTGACACTATGTGCCTCCTGGTGAGGACCTAACATCATCTATGTGGTATTCCTACCAAAATGTGTTTAGCCTGAACATAAATATGAGGAAACAATCAAGAATATCCAAATTGAGGAACATCCTGCAAAGATGGCCTGGACTCTTCAAAAATTTCAATGTCATGAAATATTAAAAAAGCCCGGGGAATTAATGTAGATTAAAGAAATTTAACAAATAAATGCAGTGCACAATATATGACTGCATTCTGGATTTGAAGAATAGACTGATTTTTTTTTAAAAAAAGCTATGAGACATTATTTAGACAATTGGGACAAATTTCAATATAGACTACATATTAGACAATAACATTGTATCAGTGTTAAATTTCCTGAATGTGATAATTAGGTTGTTGTAATATAGGAGAATGTCCTTGTGTGCTGAAATAGTTACAGGGTAATTGTCACAATATTTGCAACTTCTGCAATACAATGTTAATTGGTGAATCTAGGTGAAGGGTACTCAATGAACTAATCTTGCAATTTTTCTGCAGCTTTGAAATATTTTTAAAAAGTGTATGTGTGTGTGTGTATGTATGAGTGTTGAGGGGGCAGTATAAAAACCTTTCCAGCAAGCTGATTTCTGTTTAGGACATGTCCAATAAAGAGATATTAAGTAACTGAAAGAATAATACCGCTAGCTTCTAACAATCTTGTTAGGTTGCTTTTGGGGACTTGATATCACAGGTTCCAATCCAGCCCTGGGAAAAAGGCTACATTTGTTTCCTAAAAGCCAAGGGCACTTTTTCTTTCCTTAGCTCAGCTCTACACACCTGATGATCATTTGTATGTACTAATCAATGTTTATTCTGATTATTTAACTAGATGACTTGGGTAAGGAATGAGGGAAGTTACTTTATGGTAATTTTTCGGAACTAACTTGCTATTTGTAATAACATGATAGGAGATACAGAATTTTAAAAGCATTTGCATGCTTGAAAGATAGAATGGGAAAATGCTTGCCAAAGTGACTTCTACCAACTCCTTCTCTAGAGGGAGGAGAATTCCTAAACCCTTCACCATATTACATACTTGTTCCTCCTCCGGGACTGGTGAGCACCAGAGAAGGATGTGGGGCTTCCATGCTTTTATGAAGTGTGGCCACTGCAATGATTTTTCTTTTATGTATGCATAGCTTTGTGACATCTTCATCTGCCTTAACATCTTCTGCAGTTCTCTGTTTCACAGCAGCTCCAGGATCAAAATTAAACACCTGGAAAAAGCACAGCCTTTGTTTAGAATATGTCTGTAAAAACATTTAATAAAAAGATCCCTTTATTTAAAAAAAAGTTGTGCACAGATTAAGCCATAAATCTGAATAAAAGTTTCTCGAGTTTTTAAATTTAAGAAAGCAACTTTATATAACTAATAAATACTTCTGCTGAACTCATGGTTTTTAGTGGCAAAGTAAATAATGACTATTATCCTAACTCTAAGATAGCCAAGATTAATATATGGAAAGATACAGTATCTGATAAAGTTCTCAGATACTTCCTGATGTTATAACAGTACAAAAACAGATGAAGTACAGTTAAAAAAATAAAAAGCTATGATATTTCTACATGCTTTTTCTTTGGCATCATTTTATTACTATATTAATATTATTCACTGATTTAAAAAATCTATTAATTTACTTAACAAAAAATCTTATTTATTATGTAAATCCTTTTTTGGGAATGTGTTGACATACAAATAAAAAGAAAAAAGTTGTCTATTAACCTTTTGTTTCAAAATCAGCATTATAATAAACATTTGGAGAATAATGATGTGTTTCTATAGCAAATAATATTTTGCCATTTTATATGATATTACTTTTTATCTTGCAAAGGAGTAAAACAGCTTCATATTTTGGCTATGAGGGTTCAGCTTTGTGGTTTTAGGAATATTTGTGACAGATTTATTAACACCAGTGCTAAAAATAACATTGCAGATTTGAGCAGTTACAGAAGCAAAAGAAAATACTGCACTATTAAATGCTAAGCATAGGTATAGCTCTAATAAAATGGTGCAAAGGTGGTTTTAATGAAATATTTAATATGAATATAGGGTTTGACACCTTTGAAAATGACTCTTGAATATGTACTAGTTTTCATAATCTTTAAGCATTCCAAAATGCATGCAAAAGATGTCTAATTAAAGAATTAAAATGTATGATCCAAGAAGTAATAAAAAATAAAATGCCAAATGAGAAAAGCAAATATACAAAGTACCTAAAAAATAAAAAAACTGCTGTAGATCTATTGTGAAATTGTTACCTTGGGAAGAATAAGAGGACATTCCAAGCCACACTTGCATGTTCCATCAGTAAGCAGGTATGTTTTAACCTGCTCCAAGCAAGATAACAAAGACCCACTGGGACTGTAAAAATAGTTTTAAAAAACATCAGGAAATAATTTTGACTGCACATATTATATGAAAAAAAGGCATAATTTATATTCTTACTGTCCTTCACAGGATAATATTTTCTTACTCGGGAAAAGCATTTTCTTTGTCAATATTATGTTAGCTACTAAATTATAGCCTTTAACAATATTGCTCTTTCTTTTGAACCAAAATATTTCTCAGAAAAATACAGATCTTCGTAGAAAATTAAATAAAAGTATTTTGAAAGCCAAGAGTAGACTAAAAGAGAGTAAAAATGCTTTTCTTAAGAAAGGACAGAAGCAGGCAGAAAGGAACAAGAAAACTACATAAAAGTAATCACTATCATTTTATACTAGAAGATCTACTTTTAAAGCTCTTTGAGTAAAAACTGAAATTTAGGAACATATTGGGGTTCAAACTAGATATCTGGCAAATCAACAAAAGTTGGAGCTAAGAAGTTTTTCCTGGTTTACCTTGGAATCTAGAACCAAGTTGTCCCTATGTAAAAACAGGTTTCTCTTTTCTCCCCCTCACCCATGTGTTTCTTTGAAGATAGATCAGTGCAGCTCAACTCAAGTTATTCTGAAGAGCCAAACTGTACAGAAAAGGACAGAGGAATCAAGCAGAGCTGACAAATGACAGGAAACTTGAGGAAATAGGGTTTTAGGCGGCAGAAAGATGTCTTGCAGGTCTTCAGTGTGGTAACAGAGTAGGTGTCTCAATGTTACCACTCTTCGGATCACAAAAATCAGTAAGATTTGTGAATACTGATTAAGTTGAAGTCCACAGATTAGGTACTAATTCAGATGACAGGGGAAGTCTTTGATTTTTATTTAAAATGAATGTTAGTTTAAAATGGGTAATTTGCATTTTAGGGCTTTTATTATTAATATGTCAATTTTATAAATTAAATGCATATTATTGCTTTGAAATTATATACTTTTCACTTGAGAATATCTTTTATTTATAACTAGTTAGCAAAACCTTCACTTAAGCCCTTTGATCAAATTCATCCAGAAATAATACTCTCCATTTCATATACAAAGCAATATACTACCGGACACAGAATATTCTGTCTCAACAAAAACACAGGTATTTTATCTTATCATTTTTATCTATAAATGAACTGGCTTTAAAATGCAATTCATATTTTGTTTATGGACAATCATACAAGTGACTTATGCATGTAGAATATCTAAATGAAAATCCTCAACTTTGTCAAATTACTCATTTATTTGGCTATGTTTTTAAGATGCTATGCAAAGAATAATAATTCCCATATTACAAATTGGAGTTCCAAAGCACAGAGGGGCAACAAGATGTTTTTGGAGGTCTTATAATTTTAATAAAACAAAGTCACCAAAAAATTTCTTACTAATTTTTCATGTGAAGAAGTCATGAATTTGAGGAAAAGGAACTACCCAACATTTTCACTTTAAAGAAAGTGTACAGATTGAATCTTAGAGGAATTTAATTATAAAATTAAATCTGAAGGTAAGAATTCCTGAATTCTATTTAGAGTACTCCAGAGCTTTAAAAACACTTCTTCTCAAATCAGTCAGTTGGGTTCTTTTCTTCAGTTGTAACTCTTTAATTAACTTTTTGGAGTAATAATTAATCTAAAAAATAGTTACAAGTCTTATGGCACACATAAAGCTTAGAAGATGGGAAGTAGGTGGAAAATTTAATATGTAGCCTCAATGCCACCCCGAGGCAGAAGCAGCCAGAGACTAACCTAAAAATTACTAGCAAACTGCACATTGAGAAGGGAGCTAAACAAGGAGGGCTAGCGTCCTATCAATGTTCAAGTAGTAATTTAACCTGTTATATACAAACAAAGGAAATCTATGCTGGCTTAATTTAATTTGAAAGTATTTTACCTACTCTGGGAAAGTTAGTTTCTAAAATAATTTTCAGTGTACAGCTTTGGATTTGGAGAAGTCACACTAACAGGGTTATAAGATAGTAAAGTCGAGACACACCTAGAAAATCATGAACATAACTGACAGATTCTTAGGCCTTAACTTTGTTTCTGATTCCTAGAATTAATTTGGTTTCTGTTCTCAGAAATCTGAAAAACTGATTTATCTTTCACAGAGATGAAATAAAAAAAATTATTCAGATTTTAGAGTCATTTGCTCTAAGCTGAATATATATTCACCCTTTGCAAACTAAAACAACCATAACTATAAACATGTAACACTGATACCTTACTATGTTACACTTACAGCTAGGTATTCCTGGCACTTTGTTAATGGCACTGGCAATGGGAACACATTGAAAAAGTGATCCCATGTGTCCTCGCGCATCTTACCTGCCGTGGAATGAGGTCTACATTCCCTGCTTTCTTATCCCTTCACCCCAATTAATATAGAGCACATCTTTAATATTACAGAAATAAAATTTATGTGACAAAAGAATTTCAATTGGTAATTAAGTTTGCCTTAGGAAATGCCTTACACAAAAGAAACAAACAAATTCAGAACAGAGTCTGAACTGACTTCTAAGTTGTTGTGGTATGAATTCGTTTGTGTTTATATAACCGAAAATACCTCATTTCTATAAATAACATTTTTGCAGAACTGGAGAATTCTGTTGAAGCTGGGATACAAATAGTCACACTGAAAGTAATACCATCAATTTAATGATGCAATGTGATATAGTTTTAAAAGTTTGAGTCTATTTCTAACAGTTTTTTATTATATCACAAGGAAAATTTATGATATCCCAACCTTTCAGATACTTATTGAAAAACTATAAAGTAAGGGACTTCGATGCCAATTATTTTACAAGTAAGACTAAAAATCCTTGTCAACAATTCAGAAACTCTGTTCAACTTATTCTACAAGGGATATACGCAATGAAAATTTAAAAGAGTAGGCATTTTATTTGTGCGATTTTTACTTTTAAGATGAAGAGCCATCTCCATCATGATTTTTTCATTTTTACTATTACCTGCAAGGAAGTAGATTAAAAACTGTGCAGAAAAAAATGAGAAATTTATTTTTAGTTACTATCAGGCATTAAAAAGTCTAATAATTGAAACTTCCTATAGATAGAAACACTCAATGTTATTATCAAAAAAGCCAGGGGAAGCACTCTGAAGGACAGAGTAATACTGTCAAGTGATATAGGGTCTATTTCTAGTATTTTACATTCTACTATGAATGTGGTAATGATGTGTCTATGTTTCTTTTAGAAATCTTCATATTTTTCTTTATCCTTATTACAGAGATAAGCAGAATGACACCTTATGTAAACACAAATAATGCATATAAATTCTCTCTGGTAATCTAAGGTAATTTACATTGCAAAACAGTACAGAATAAAAATGCATATTTTTCTAGCACAAAAGTCACTTATTCAAATTTATTTGAGATGCTGTGAATCACAATATTTTGTTTCCTTAAAGAGGGACAATCTCTACCTCCTTAACACTGGGACTGCAACTTTGGAGGTAACAAACGTAATAACGAGGGCTCACCTGACATAAAGCACTCCATTTTGATCCACACGACGCTGCCAACCCACAGGAACTTGTATAGCTGGAAGGCCTCCTTCCTTGTCCCCTCCGTCACACTCCTTGCCTCCATTCATTTTCTGTGTCTGCTTGGGACTCTTCAAAGATATCAGCAATAAGATGATATCCTTTTATTACAGAGCATGATGGCCTTCAAAAATGGGCCAGTGCAGCACAGTTTTTCCCAGACTGTACAAAATGCATGGGGAAGCTTCGGCTCAGTTTGGAACCAAGTCCGTGAAATCTGCCATTGTGGAAAAAATCAGTTTCCCATTATAATCTACATTAAATAACCAATATTTAATTCCTAAGGATGATCTACATGGGTAAAAATGAGTGCTTCCGACTAAGGAAAATCATAATTCACCAATGCTGGTACCTGTCTGAAGTGGGAGAGGGAGGAGTGTAAAGTTTTTAGTTCAACATTTTGTCTTGAACCTTGATGTTGGACTAAAACAACTTCTATTATTTAGAAACCTCTCATTTTTACAGTGTGAGTCGGTTAATATTTCCAGGTACTACCCGCCTTTATAGGCCACATTCTTTAAACTTTCTCTTTATCTTCCAATCTGAATCCAAAGTGTTGCAGGTTGGTTCATCTGATGTTTTCATGACTTCAAAATTCCAATAATGTAGCCTGAAACATATGTAAATATGTAAACTGTATATTTAATACTGAAGAACTAAGAAGCTGCAAAATTTTAAAATAGAATAAACTATTAAGTGTACCTAACCACTGATATCTTCTGCCATCACATCAAATTCAACTTGTTTTCTTCTTCCAGCTTAATCTACTTACGCCAGTTAAACCAATTTACTTGCTCTTTACCACATGCAACTTTCTAATTACTAGAGATAGAACCATAATTAAGGCATCACACACACACACACACAAACATGCAAACTCACACACACTGAGCCTCCTTCTAACTTGAAATAAAAATATATCCATCACCTCTTATGATTTGTAAACTGGAAAGTTGTGTTAATCCAATCACCTTTTTTTTTTTTTTTTTTTTTTAGTCTCACTGTGTTGCTCTGACGTCAGTCCAGCTCACAGCAACCAGCTCATCCCAACCTCATTATATAAAACATTTATTCATTTTTTGACCTTAGCTACTATTTTTCTTCCTCTCCATTTACACCCAACCCCTTTTTTTTTTTTTTTTTTTTTGAGACAGAGTCTCACTTTGTTGTCCAGGCTAGAGTGAGTGCCGTGGCGTCAGCCTAGCTCACAGCAACCTCAAACTCCTGGGCTCGAGCGATCCTTCTGCCTCAGCCTCCCGGGTAGCTGGGACTACAGGCATGCGCCACCATGCCCGGCTAATTTTTTATATATATATCAGTTGGCCAATTAATTTCTTTCTATTTATAGTAGAGACGGGGTCTCGCTCTTGCTCAGGCTGGTTTTGAACTCCTGACCTTGAGCAATCTGCCCGCCTCGGCCTCCCAAGAGCTAGGATTACAGGCGTGAGCCACAGCGCCCGGCCAAATCCAATCACCTTTTGATTACTCCTTAATACTACATGACCCTTTGATTCTGTTTTCTTTTCTTTTTTTTCCAATTTATTTATTTCTTTTCTTTTTTTTTTTTGAATTTCAGAATATTATGGGGGTACAAACATTTTGGTCACATATAATGCTTTTGCAATGCCCAAGCCAGAGCTACAAGCATGCCCACCCCCATACAGTGTGTTCTGCACCCATTAGTTTGGAGCTTACCCATCTCCTCCACCCACCTCCTACCTGCCTGGCACCCGATGAATATAATCATTATATGTAGTATTTGTCTAAAGAAGAAAAGGTTTCTTTTTTTTAAAAAAGGAAAAAAAAAATGAAAAGGAAATAAACCTCTAGTACATTTCCAAATATAAGAGAAAGGTTTTCCCCAGTATTACTAAATATAATAATGGGAGTTGCTTTATAGTAAAGATTTTACAAAATCCCTTATATTATGGGGTGCTCTCTTAATTCTCTTGTTAAGTCAAAAGGTGCTCTCTGGGGAAGACATACTAGCTTGAAATAGCAGTAATCAATGACAGTGTGGAATGCTTATAGAGCCTACCTTGATAGAGCTATTAAATAAAAAAAGATGGCAAGTAAATTTTAAGATTTAGTTCTTAATCCTGTGGGGAATGTGATGCCACAGTTGCTAGAATCATTTGTAGTTGTTAAGAAGCCTTCTTATGATCAATTTAATATCTAGTATGTAGTTACATTGTGGGACTCATGAAAATATACTAAAGGACGAATGAAAAAAAATTATCCTAGTGTTAAAAGAGGCGAACTTGTGGTTCTGTGATAAATATTTCCAGTGACAGCATCATCCACATATATCTCAAACAACTAAAATGGAAGTGAAGATGATATGCATGGAAAACTATTAAATAAATGACTTAAGATTCATATGGAAGTATTAGATTAAAATGGTTTTATATAAAATTTAGATGAAAAATTGATGTATTATTTTAGACAATATGTGTTTTAGACATGCATGTAGAACTTAATCAATTAACAAATTAAATAATGTAAACAAACACATAACTACTTAATCTACATTCCTAAAAGTCTACATACTTAAGTTGGCCCAAAATATTTTTTTGGATATTCTCCTTAGGGAAACAGGAGATTGCCTTACAGGAAAGGCCATCATGTATTCAAGCGTATGTCTTATATGCAGCCTTGGCTCTGAGACAGATTAAGGATATTATAATGAAGCATATTCTTATTTAATTGAAAACCAGAAACTGTGGGTCTGGGTGTGGCAAATGCTGGCAGGCAACAGGAAAAATAGCAAACATTTATTGGGAAAAATTCAGGGTACAGGCCGGGCGCGGTGGCTCACGCCTGTAATACTAGCACTCTGGGAGGCCGAGGCGGTGGTTGCTGCGCAAGTCAGAGTTAGAAAACCAGCCTGAGCAAGAGCGACGACCCGTCTCTACTAAAATAGAAAGAAATTAATTGGCCACTAATTATATAGAAAAAATTACCGGGCATGGTGGCGCATGCCTGCAGTCCCAGCTACTTGGGAGGCTGGGCAGAGGGATCGCTTGAGCCAGGAGTTTGAGGTTGCTGTGTGAGCTAGGCTGACGCCATGGCACTCACTCTAGCCTGGGCAACAAAGTGAGACTCTGTCTCCAAAAAAAAAAAAAAAAAAAAAAAATTCAGGGTACAAAGAAAAGTGACTAGTACTAACAGTCTCAATCAAGTTGGTAATATGCATCACTGGGCCCACTTCACCACATTATGCTTCTCTCAGAAATGGCCCACTTGCAGGTATAAGTTCCTATTTCTGTCTTTCTCACTCACTGCACTTTTGACCATGACTCCTGCTGGCCAGGTATGTGTTTATTCACGTTTTAGTCAACAGTTAGTGAGTAACTACTATGTACTAGGTATTGTGTTTGGTACTGAAAGTACAAAGATGGTAAGAAGTATGATCTGAATGTTTGTACCCCCTCAAATTCACAGGTTGAAACCCTAACCCCCAAGGTGATGGTATCAGGAGGTAGGGCCTTTGGGGGGTAATTAGGTCATGGGGGCAGACCCCTCAAGAATGGGATTAGGGCCCCTGTCAAAGAGGCCCAAGAGAAACCTCTTCCACCACATGAGGTTGTAGTGAAAAGATGACCATCTGTGAACCAGAAAGTAGGCCCTCACCAGACACTAGATCTGCTGGTACCTGGATCTTGGACTTCTCAGACTCTAGAATTGTGAGGAATAAATTTGTTGTTCATAAGCCACCTAGTTTATGGTATTTTGTTATAGTGGCCCGAACTGACCAAGACAGTAAGACACCATTTTATCCAAAGCCCAGTGTAATGTTTAATGAGCGGCTTGATGTGGAAAGACAGAAAGGAAAGAGTAAGATTTCAGTCCACATTTGCAAGGAATTCTTGGCCTAATGGAAGTCTCAATGCTTGTGAAAAGATATAAATTTTGTGCCATCCTGGACTCCCAGTTTTGTCAAATAGCTACAGACCCTGCTGACTGACCTTGCTTATTTTTTTTTTTTACAGCATCTTTCATAAATATTTTATTATCTTCCTTTTCCAAAGAAATCTCTTTAGTATTCTCTAATCATTAGACTGCGTCCACTCCCATTTTCCCTACTTTTGAGCTTTTTTACTATTTGATGCCTTTTTTTGTTTTTGTTTTTGGTCTGCTTGCTCTTGCATGTGGTTCCAACTTTCTCGAGACTGGCTGGCTCGCTCCACTAAGTAATTTGTGGATCTGCCAGATAATAGCACTGGAGTGATTCCTGCCAAATGTCTCCCTCATATTTCAGTCATCAAAAATACTAATATCTGGGTTTTACTTAAATCAGCAGTTCCCAAACATGGTCCTGGGATATTATTGTCAGTAAGTTGTCAGAAATGCAAATTCACAGGCCTGACCTCAGACTTACTGAATCAAAAACTCCAGGGACAATCTATTTATTTTTCAATAAGCCTACTAGGTAATTCAGATGCCCATTCAAGTTTGATGTCTGTTCAAGTCTGACTGCTTAGTGCTGGTGCCTTCTTTCCCAGAACAAGGCTGGTTTTACCTTTCTACATCTTGCAGGCAGCCAGCCCTCTACTTCCTTTTGTCTGGGGTCAAGGGAGGGGATCATCTCTTTTCTTGCTACTACTTCAGTCTTCCAGAGGTAGTGCAATTGTAACGGCCTTAGGGACCCCTTTTGGCAGAGGTCTAATAACTATATAATTATCATTTATCTGTAAGTGGCATTGTTTTTCTCAACATTCATTTTGTGAATTTGGAAAATACAGAGAAGTTTGAAGACAAAAACTGAACTGCAATCTCACTGCTGAATAATAACTGTTGCAAATATTGATATACTTTCAATCATTTGTTTTCAGAAAGTTTTAAGAGCTTGCATAAAAAAACAAGTTCAATATAATAAACAATGTACCACCACTCTAAATTTACAATGTAAGCATTTTGCTGTTTTTGCTTATTTTTTAAAATAAAAGACTTAGAAAACATCACAGATGAAGATAAATACTATGTCTCACCCCCACCACATTTTCTCTTTCAGCCCCATTCCACTTCCTTTTACCATCACAAATCTGTCTGTATCCACCCAGGCCATGCTTTTCTGTTTATTTCCTATATTGTATACATAAACAATTTTGGTATTGTTATAAGAGTTTTGAAATTTTACATAAATACTATTAAATAGTATATATAATTCTGCAACTTGCTTTTGAAAATTCAACATGTTTTGGGAGCTATCTCTGTTGAGATATTTAGATCTATCTCTGTTGTAGAAATACAAGTCCAATTCACTAATTTTTATTTATTTTTTAGATAAGATTAATATTTATTTATTTATATTTCAATAGATTCAGGGGGTACAAGTGTTTTTTGTTACATGAATGAATTGTATAATGTTGAAGTCAGGGCTTTTAGTATACCTGTTACCAGAATACTGTACATTGTACCTAATAGTGAGATTCCAATTCACTGATTTTTCTTTTTTTTTTTTTTTTTTGAGACAGAGTCTCACTTTGTTGTCCAGGCTAGAGTGAGTGCCGTGGCGTCAGCCTAGCTCACAGCAACCTCAATCTCCTGGGCTTGAGTGATCCTTCTGGCCTCCCGAGTAGCTGGGACTACAGGCATGCGCCACCATGC